ACTTCTTATGGAAGGTTTATAACGCATCATATTCCTGCCTGAAGTTTCACAAGCAGTCTTAACTTTAAAATTATTTATCTGGTCATGTTCATTATTTTAAAATTGTCATATACGTCAACAACCTGTTTGTTAACCTGGCCCACACATACGTTACACTATATCTTCATGTCTTCTAAATTTAGGAATCATCTGAGTCGCCTTTAGCATTTATCAATAAACCCATCATAGTCGTTGTTGCTAATCGTATTTGGGTTTATGGATTGGTTTATCATATTAGCAGCCTAAAATGCGAACATAGTTTAGATAATAAGATTAAAAATTTAGGTACTATCAACTGCACTAGTAAAATAACTAAATCCTCAGGTAGCTGTTAGCTAAACAAACGTTTAAAATCAAAACTCCGTAGCCTACTAGAATTAACACTAAACGAATCTTTCTGAATTAAAATTTATAGTTAAATTAGGCGTCTCGGATTCTTTAACGTTATAAATTTCTGATAATTTCGAATCACCTAAAGCAACAATACCTATTTTTCTACTGACTAATCCTCAATCAACACTATAACTAGCTAAACGTAATAGTTTCAGGATATCGTCATAAAGCATTGTCATGACTTGACAATCACGTAATATGATTAATAAAATTAATGAAACTATTAACAAAATCGGTCAGCAAATTGACTTACAATTATCACTAGTGTTGTTTTTCTTTTATCTTCATTCACTACAGATGATTACAGTATGTTTCTCTATCAGTTGCTCATTCAGTAAATGCCTCAAATCCTTGCCAGTCTAATTGGAGGTTTAGTGATGACACAACCATGCATGCAAATAATCAGTAAAAGCAGTCGAGCAAGTCTCCTGCAAACTGAAAACATCAATGTCGAATTTACCCCAACACAGACTAAGGTTCAAGCCGTTATCATAGACATGAGTTGCGAGTGTACTCCCCTTGGTTACAACTTATGTTCTCCCTGATAATCACATGAGCATCACTCACTACTAATCATCTTGTAAAAACTTATTTAGCTAAATACATCTTGCAGCACCACATCACTTCGTAATATGACAGGCCTAACTGATTTTAATAACCTATAACCACTATATCTCAATTAAATCGTATTCCGCCTTATGATAAACTGCATACTTGCATACTTGTATGCCCAATCAGCCAGCAAGTATAAATATAAATAAATAGTCTGCAGATCAGAACATTGAGTCTAGAGTATGTCTCTTACGAATACACTCATGTTTAACGATTTGTTCTTAGCTACCTGTCCAAAATTCATATAATTATCAGCCACGTATTTAAATTTTGTTTTGATAACCATTCATATGTATTAGTAGTGTTACTAAATTCTATCACGGTCAAGTAAAAATGAGGTCGAGAAAATCTCCCCGTAACTTAATAAACCGTATCAAACTAACTGGAACACTAGTTGGAATTCTTCTCCACGGTATACTTTTGTTCCTTCAGTTAGCCTACTAATACAGATGCAATTGGAATTCAACTCATATGGACAACTTACCGGCATAATCGTTATTTGATTTCATAATTTAAACCAAAACTAATACCAATATTAATATTTCTACAACATTCATTACTTTAATACTTCTAAACACAAAATACTTACTACCTATACGTTAAGTTATTAACCAACGGCTATTAGCACGCATCGTTTTATTATTATTATTGTTATGCCATTCTTTATAGTTAAAATAATCTTCACCCAAATTTTCATTTCAAGCGTTTTAAGCATGAAGGTAGATATTTTCAAAATTATTACATGTATTTCCCGACCAGATGCTGCCGCCTTGTTTTTGATTTATCCTTCAGCTTACCAATACCCGGAGGATTTTTATTATCCTTGGTAACCTCCGGCGCGCGACGATCCCATCCAATTTGGTATCGAACCAACATCACGTTGATTCTGGTGGGAGAGTAGTGTAGTGGCATTGGACCATAACCACACAATCTTCAAAGCTGAACATAAGACTACTCAGAAAATAGATATTCAATATTTAACACGGAGAAATACCTTACAATGGATAAGGCGCGGAGAATGAATTGAATGGACTGGAGTTGATCGAGTGGCATGGCTCGGCCATGCAGGCGTGGTCTCTATCCATATTAAATATATTGTTCTTTCTCTAACCTAACCTCGTTCTTCATCATGTATTGGTAATTGATACGATACAGTGAGTTGGCGTAGTCGATGGTGTGACTTCCACGTAAGATCTTATAGATTAGGCAGTTATATCATGACGAATCTACAAATTTAGGATTAGGTCTATTATTAGAGCAGTACTAATATCATAGTAGACCATAATTCTACAGACTCACGTGAGTCTTATAGAATTTTCATGTCGCTGGAGAAATGGGCGGAAGACAATCGTTTAAATTTATGCCTGACTGAACATCAAGTTGTGAACACCCAACCTCATGTGACACAAACAACTTGTATCCTCCATGAATATCCAATTCCTGTTGTCTCCACATGGTACAATATTAGCGTAAACTATACTACGGGTGTGGCCGAAGTACATAAAACTCCACAATATATCTGAAGATAGCTTAAAACTCTGACCCGAGAATAATTCCTAGCACTTTGAGTCACAGAGACGGCTTCGCCTTGAAAATTAGGAGAATGAAAAGATCTGATAGTGGTGTACCACATACTAGTTAACCCAGGTCACCGGGACACAAAAGTTTCCCCTGACACCCACTATCGCACGCCAGAAGATAATTGTCGGAAGGTTCCACATCAAAGTGCAAACACTCTGGCAAGATCAAACGCTTTCTCACAATAGGCCGGTTCTATCCCAAATGTTCTTCCAGCTAATATGACAACGGTTTCCTCGGTAGATAACCCTCAAAGAAGGTTTGGCTATCGTCCATACACTCAATCTTGGTCATCTTACTCTTGTAATGGGGGCTAGTTTTATCCCAGAGCGTGGAAAGACATTTAGTACCTACTTTCCTATCTGATTGCTGTCCCGCAAATTATCCACAATTACTAATCTATTTTAATAATACTGTGATTATCATCAACCTATTCTACCCACTTTGTTCATAGTCAGCTTCGTTTAGCTGTCATTTTCATGCGTCTAGTTGCCCACATCAATTCATTTACTTATTCTGACCGTCATCTTCTCTTGAGTACTCTTCAGTCTACTTTCCTAGTTTTTCACACTACAACTACCAATCGATTGCGCGGTAACGTGACGGCTACTGGTTCTTGCAACCCTAGCACTTGAGATAAATGGGTCCACTTAAATTAAAGATATGCAAACATCGAGAAACTATCTGATTCATCAAGACTGATGCTATCAAACGTTATATTACCCTCGTTGAACTTTATTGGGGACCATAACACCAAGGAAGTAATCCAATTAGAACTCACCATAAAAATATTGAATATTGATTTCTTCTCATAGTGTGGGGTACTTGGATAATCTGCTAGAACAGGATATATCCCACCAGTGTGTGGTGTGTTCGTGAGGTAGGGTCTCTCAACATCTGAAGTCTCACAAAGAATCACCTTAGGTACAACTACTCTGCTTGGTTCTAAATGATGACCTCTTAGATAAAATTAACTTTCTGACTGTCATACGCTCAAGTGATAGCAAGATGTGGAGGTCCATTAGAAAGTAAAACGATTCACTCGAGCTCCGAAAAGACCATATAATGGCAGAGGGATGGGCGGTAGACGAAGGGTTAATGCTTAACCAGTCGAAATGTTATGTCACGAACATTCTGCCTCATTTGACAGAAATAATCTACGTGCTTCATGGAAATTCGCTTCTTATTGTCTCCTCAGAACGTAATCTCGGGCTATTTTCACAGAGAGCTTAGACGCCATCTGAAACTACATTCAGGATGCAGCCGAAACAAATGCAACCCTTCACTTTATGCAAAGACAACTTGGTACACTCGCCCCAGAATTGTTTCCTCCACATTAACACGTACCCAAAACATTACTCCAAAGTCCACAATATTGGGTCTCCACACTTCGAACGAGACATGTGTCACAAACCAAGTATAAAGACCGACAACCAAACAGGTCAAAGAATAATCTTACATAGACAGACTACGACACTTGGAATTATTCTCGCTGAGCTATAAGAGAGTGTGTGGTGATCTGATAATGATGCACAACATATGAGTATGCCAAGTCGCCCCAACACGTGCATCCCACCAGAACATTATGAGCATGCTTAGCAAACCAACCACCGGAAAACTGCACATCAAGGAGAGAAAGCTCGGTCACACTCTCATTTTTTCTCACTTAGAGTCTCTCCCATTCGGAGTGTTCTCACAACCGAAATGATCGCAGCCTCCTCAGCGCATACCTACAAGAAGAGACTTGACGAACACACGCTCACCCATAGATTACCATCTATCACTTTGACTAGCTGTGCTGGATGCATGTCTCGTAATTTATCTACTACTATCGCTATCAAATGTCATTAATTTATTTCTACCTCACTCACTGTCAACTCTGTCTCCCCTTTTCTTCCTACACTATGGTTTGCTCACGATGTTTCCATTGCTAATTTACTAACCTGTTTATTTACTTACTCCTTGAAGCGGTTGTTCACTTTTAGCATCGGAGTTTTCGTCATATTATTTCTCACATTGCAATCATCTAACCTGCTGTCTGGTAATGTGACATTTCCTGGTTCAAGAAACCTCAAGTGATCTGAGAAAAACCCACTCACTATCATTAGAAGATGTACAAATCCAAGCCATTAATAATAATAATAATAAACTAGATACCAAACTGAGTGGAAATAGTAAAGTCGAGTGGCTAGACTGTCACTCACTGAACACTGCAAAAGGCCTAAAAGCGCACAAAAACAACAAGAGGCGAAGACAGAAGAATCACTTGATTTTCATAAGCTAGTAAAGAATATATTGGATTTTGGTGGTGCCCAGCGCGTGTTTGTTTGTACTGCCTAGTGACTTAAGGCGCGAAGATTTGTGTGTTATCTGTTCTTGTGATTCTCTGTATGATTGTTCGGTGGGTTTTCGCATCGTGTTACAACTTTTATTATGAAATTGTCTTACGAAACTGAATTCTGCTGCAAAATTTCTGTTTTGTCGCAAAACTTCAAATGCGTGCTGAAGTGTAGGAAAATCAATGAGCTCATCCAACGTCCTGACGCATTGCGTTTCCTGTTATTACCCTTTTGATTTTGGGACTTGCTAAGTATTTCGTGAATTAACTGTTTTTTCTCTCTCTGGTATCCGCAGAACTATATATGTATTCAGAACATTTATGTAAAACAGGTGATATGTCCTCTGTAAATTGAGTTAGGACGACAATCTATAGTCAGTTACCTTTAGTAGGTGCTTCGATTTCCATAAATGTCTCAGTTTTTGCCAATAATATTATTAATTACTAGCCGAGATGCAAGTAGACATCTGACTAACAGTAGTTCCTGTTGTCGAATCTAAATACTTAGAAGTATCTGAAGGATTATGTATGCTGAAGTAGTTGGATTTGGGGATACATTTTTTTTCGGGCACTCGGTGGTCTGTCTGAGTGTATTTATTCACCTCTTGAGTCTAACTGGGGATGTTTCCGAACATTAGTCAAAAACTAGCAACTGGACAGCTTCATTTATTAGCTTTGAATCCGTTCACTAACATTTTAGTCATGAAATACAAACATAACATCACTTATTCCTACAAAGACTGGTCACCTTATATATCAGGTGGTTATTGTGCCACCAGAGAACTGCATTTTTCAGTGGTTTGCTTGGATTTGACCTCTTGTTTGGCAGTCATTGTTAAATGGTACCACGGTGAGACTAATTTATGGACGACCCTTGAGCGACGCTAAGGTGACCTTGTGAGTGTCTGCCTACTTACTAGGGCTAAGTGAGGGTTATAAAGCAGTTTCAAGAATAAGGATTAGGATTTATAGTTGAACATTAGGATCAAGAATTAGATTTAATGTTTTCATCACTAACTGACATCAGCTATAATACCAGGATTCCATTTAGCCAAATGGGTGAATGAATTTCGCGCCAAAATGCAAAATCTATTATCGTAAGTCTGATTCGTTCGTCCATAAATTGTAGTCTCGCCGGTACCACAGTCTTACAATCATTAGCATCCATGAACTTGATGCATTCTTAAACGGTTTATTGTTCACACTGAAGTCTAGTTAACCAAACCTAACCACCCTAAATGTCTCCAAATAATTTCGATGTGGCTGTATCACTAATTTGATCTGTATTGGTCTCACCATCTTAAATGTAAATTCCAATAGCTTAGTGTGAATCACACTACTTCTTGGCACCCAATTGTACTAATTTTACGTGAAATAAATAGAAGTAAATACATTCTCTACAGTGGGAATTATAGGGCGATGTATCCCATCCAATTGTTCATGTTTGACGTAAAACGTGCAGCAAATCTGCACCTTCATTTGGCACATGATTGTATATATATTCACTCTACCATAATTTAGACTTTGATTCCCAACGTCAATTCATATTACTTATGTTGCAAATTTATCCTTCCTTTACGGACCGCGTCCTTTATCTTTAGTCTTTTTGCTATCATTGATACTACTATCGTCCTAACCTATTTACCAAGAACCTTGTTGATTTCGCCTTACATTATAAGATTAACGAGATTCTTGGTAAAGGAGTTGAAATGATAGTAGTATTAATGATAGCGAAAAGACTAAAGATAAAGGACGTGGTCCGAAAAATAAGCTTGCAAAGTAAGGAAAATGACTTGACGTTGAGAATCACTCTAAATTGTAGTATAGAGTGAATACATACGCAACCCAACAGCGAATTTCTAGTCACCCTGTTAATGACACTACACGTACCAATATAGAATAATGGTCAGTGGCACCGTCTGTTTAATAGCTATCTTTTGAGGTCATACAGATAACTGTGACTGCGACAAAATTAGTCCAAAGAAATTCTGTGTCTGAAAACGCACTAGGATTATTCATTTCGTCTCTTGCGGCCTACAAACTGATGTGTGGCGTTATGTGGGTTTTTTGAAGTAAAGGAGATAGACACATCTAGAATACGGCGCTATAAAAAATGCTTGGTTCAAACCATTGGCTTTAATATGGAACGTGTGATCTAACCTTACTCAAACGGCTGGTAAACATTTGTTCAAATTGCTAGTTTAAAGACGAATTATTGACATCCACAAAGTCGTAATAGTACATTTATTTAAAACCGAGGACAAGTTTTGTGATTTGATACATCCGGGACTACTTAAATCTGTTATGATATTCGAATATTCAAATGGCATATGAACCTAAGGTTGGTCACCGGCTTCCATGGGACTGCATCTCCTCACGATGCTCCACTGTCTTATGGATCAGACCTTCAGGTCGAAGGCTCGGGGTGTGGCCCTCTAAGAAAACCACCTGCTTCGGTTTGGGCACCCGGGTATCACAGCCTTCACACATATCGAATGAGATTTGTGTGGCGCATATGTATTTGGTGCCTCCGTGTACCAATATCTATGTGTTAAAATAAATAAACAAATGTGATATTCGAAGGGTAACAATACCGACTATTTTTTCAGTTATCTTTTAATTATGTGATGAAGATTAAAAGAGTGGATTCAGTAGTAAAAGTGTTATCTTTGTCTTTCAGATAAGCCTAACATGGTTACAGCTGTTCAGCCAATGTTTGGTCTTTTAAAACGACTCCACCTACATCCAATGGAAAATGCTTTAAATGAAATAAGTCCACAAACTTCCCTTCTGCAATCTATAAAGTTTGTAAGTTTTATCTGTTCCTCAGCCATTTCAGTAGAAAGCCCAGCCATTTCTGTTTCGTAAAACCAAATCTGAAGAAATACGACGTAGTCACGACAGTATGGGCCAGAAGAGACCATCACCTTACTTTTCTAACACGGACCTGAAAACTGCCAAACGTTGTAAGTCTTATTTGCTATTATAAACCACTTCCACTATTTTAGCGTAGTCTCTTAGTTGCCTCATTCTTTATGTGATCATAATTATTCATTACAAAGAAAAACTTGATAATACGTCAGTGAGTGTTGAATACGAGTTTTGAAGACTTGTTTTGGGTTAAAATGATAATTAAAACGCTGATCAACAAGTGATACACAGCTACGCAATTTGTTCCACTGTTATGTACTTGCCACATCGAATTATTGACGTTAGTCTACGGGTGAAATGTAACGAAAAGACAACACATCTGCTCAAAGAATAGATTCCCGCTAGTTAAATGACATGGTTGCGTACAAAATATATAAAACAAAAACAAACATGGTTGGGAGTGATTTGAAATAAGTAAATGGAAGACGTGGATTTTATATGTTGCTCAAGCCTTAACGAAATTAATGTCTGTCTAACAACCTCATATGATTAATTGAGGTAATTTTTGATGTAACGTTTGTTAGGATGAAAATCCTTCATTATTGTACTACTTCACGCCTAAAGTATCTGGTTCTGTTTCTTTTGCAGGATATTTCATTTTAAACGCCCTTTTTTACCATCACGATTAGTTTCTAAATTGGGGGTATACGGAACTGTTCAGACACTTACAATATGTTTATTCATCCTCCACAAAAGTTGTATCTGGACTATCAGGTGTAATAGACTATTTAAGAAACTAGAATCATTAATTACGGTCTCTATCTCGTTCAAACGTTATGTTGTATCGGAAATCAACTATCCTTTTAAGTAAATTAGTACGATGTTATATTTTGGATTCGATTAATGTGAATATTAATTTCGACCCCACTTTTCATGAGTTGTGATAAATAAAACCTGATTCTCGAATTTTTCACGCAGAACACTATGAATTGTAAGTCTCATCAACTTTACGATCTGGCAATATTTTAGTATATCCATACAAATCCTGATCAAATAGTCTGACATTTTATGTAAACCGTAGCATTCTTATAGTAATTGCATTTTCTATGCTTTTTTTAGCCCGCCGTGTTACGAAATTAACTGATAAGATCGTAAATCCCGTGGATGTAAACTTTAAACCTAATTATGAGAACTCAAGCATAAATTATTCAACTTTATCTCCTGGGGTAACCCCATCAAATCCACCGATCTTTCCATCTCCTACTTCAATCAATTCCCCCAACTTTTCTGTATCAAATGTTTCATATTCTTTACGCATCCCGAACTCTAGCGAAACCCCAGTAATTTCTCATCCGAAATATCTGTGCCTCCAAAACTCCCCGCACCCAGTTTGCCAGTATCGATCCCAAGTTACTCCCGTCGTTAGAACTAATCCCACAGAGTGCCAGACACGTATTTCTACACGTAGTACGGATTCATTATTAGATGAGAATCATTTTGTGATTGAAGAGGAAACACCCGCTACTTCTATTTGTGCAAAGGACTCCCTCCATTTAAATAAAATAACTGGCCATCTTAGTGGACAGAATCTTAAGGATGTTCGATACGTGAATCGCTCACGTAATACCAGCAGATTGTCTCCTGTATCTTCAGTATCTAAAAGATATGGTAATTCGGACGATAACAAATGTGATGTGAAGTTGAAAAACAAAGATAAAGTTGTGATTGTATACAAGGAACCACCAAAGCGTCGGAAATCTATTGATCAGCTCATTGAACCTTCGATTCATGGATTACCAGATCCCGAAATTTCCACTAAACCTCGTACACGAAAACCAACTCAATTTTTACAACTTAATGCACAAACTACTGAGCCTTCGTGTAATGATCAAAAGCCTGCCTATCTCACTACTCAGTCATATTATTATGTACCAGATTTTACTAACCGTCATCTCCGAAGTCCAGAAACTGTCCAAGTTCATGTGATAGAGCCGAGAGGTATACCAAAGATGTCCAATTCAGCTGTTCTTATTGAGGGTAAGTTATATTTTTGCTGTTATCTCGTCAATTTCCGACCACAATTTTATTTAAAAGTATTATCATATAAGGTTATCTCTTCAATTTGAGGGCTAAAAAAGTCATGTACAAGTGGTATTTGATTGGCAAAAGTACGAAACTAACCAGCTAAGTTTGTAGGCTCCAACGACGGCGTTAGGGAATATATATAGCTGTCATTAGGTTTTGTTAATTTTTTATGTGAACTAAAAGAAAAACGGAAATCGAAGGTTTTGATGCTTTTGATAGACTCATCTAATGAAATAAGAGTACATCAGAATTTCAATTAATAGCTTTCAAGCTGCTGAAATATGGTAACGAAAAACAATCTCAATGTTATTTTACATTATTACCCATCAAGCAAGTCATGACAAAACTTTTACACTACTACCGATGCTAGGAACCTACCTGTTCAAATTTTCTAAAAGTTACAGAAGTCCATTCTACCACTCCTATAATCATGGTGACCTTTTCAAAACTGAAGATTTTTACTCATGTAACTAGTTAATTGTAAGTTCATTTGGTTTTAAACTGCATGTTTTCCACGTTACTGGGATGCCGAAGCTAGAATAGATGGGGTGATGACCAAACTTGCGATCTACTGGTTTATTGTCAAGTGATTTTGTCACTAAGCCATTAATCTATGACTTTCCAAAATGTTAAGTATTGTAGTCAGTATCGTTATAAATTACTGCTGTTTTTATGTATATTGTTTATATGACCCTCATTCTTTAACTAATGTTCTTTTACAATACACACCAAGCAAACCGCTTCTCCACAGCATCTTGTGATAAAAGAAGATTCATATACAGAAGAGCTCGACAATATGCGTTTCAGAAATAATTTGTAGCTAAAATTATTTGTCGACTAAGTATTCAGTTTTGTCCCCATAATTTATTATTGCGAGTTTTCCCCATACAAGCCTCATTTCTTACATTTCTTTGTTTAGTTCCTAGCTGGCGTGTTATACCTATCCCAGGTGTCGAGATCTATATGGATTGTTCTTGTGGGACAAAACATTCCAAATCATGTCCCAAAAAACACCCAGACAGACGAAAACTAACAGATACGGATACTCTTAAATCATGTAATCTCCGCGCCTTACGATCCAGCTTACTGACTATTAACTCTGTCCATTCAAATAAAAATTATCCAACTCCAGAACTTAAGTCAAAACCCAGGTCTAGATCTTCCCAGACACAAAAAGAGCATTACCAAGTTGGAGAACCTATCAAATCAGTTGGCGTTTTGGATGAAACATATCAGACCCAGCATTCCTTGCTCGCCATTCGCGTTTGGAAATTGAGGAAGTTCGTCACGAGCGCTTATCTCGCCAACGTACTGCAGAACAAGAACTAAAGCAACGTTTGGAAGAAAGGGATCAAGCCAGTTGGGTAAGGGAGGAGCGCTTTACACTGAGTTATCCAAGAGTTAGTAAAAAAATCTAAATTATCAGTATGTTAATATTTTCGTATATGATAGTTCGGGTTTCAACCATTCGGTAGTGTAACATGTCTAGTAACTACATGTTTAATCCTATGTTAACTACTTGCCACATGTACACGGAGAATCAATTTACTACATTTCACAGCTGTATTTTTAAATCTTGGTTAGTGGTGTGCTGTAATTGCTTAGCTTTTTGAAGTATAGATTTATGATTTACGAACGAATTTCCGATTATTTAAAATAAAAGAGCAGAACTTTTGTCGATGGGTTATATTCATTAATACGATGTAGTTGGATAGTGACTGCTCATGAAATAAATTATTGACGTAAGCCGCTGAGACCGAAGGTACAACTACTAGCTAAAAGAATAGGTTTTTATATATTGAGATAACATGTTCATACAAAAATAACGGGACCAGATGTTTTCAATTATTGGACAGAATTAGTTTTGTAGGTCGCTCATTCTCCAACAGATAAGGGCCTAATTGTTAGACTCCACCATATCACCCAGTTAGGTAGCCAATTTTGTTTTCGTATTTCGCTGGTTACCTTAGTGTTTCGTTTCTAACGAGAAAACAAGTATAAGTCTAATTTTTACATATTCTACAGATGGTTTCTGTCAAAATTTACTCAGTCCAAGTGTTAGAACGAACTGAGGATAACCGTTCATCGTTAACATTCCTATTTCAACGCTTAGATTAACCAAAACTAGTTCAATCCTGGTAGGTTTGAAGCTATTACGACTTCACTTAGTATGCGAACGGAACAAAGACTTGTGACCGTAGACCAGCTAGCTATTTGATGTGTCCCAGCCCCGCTAACTAGAGGAAGAAGTCCAAGCTTGGAACTGAAAAGTATATTCCGTAAACCAGAAGCACGAGTGAATAATAACAGATACAAATCAAACGTATATATACAGCATAAAACTCCTTGGGAAGCGTAACAAAAATAGCATACTAAAAATGCACAACGGACCAATAGCGTTGAAGATTCTCCAAAGTGGGAAATACGACATGAAGGTGAAAAAGAGCGCTTTTGGCGCGAAAACAAAGAAATTTAAATTTCTAAAATAAAATTACAAAATTAAGGGATTTACCAAGTGAGTTCTGGGGATCTAACATCCCCAACAAATCCCAGCTATAAACTCCGTTAAGAAGCGACTTACTAGTTTAGGAGAATTTAAACTGCTTGTAATATTCGTTCAGTTTTTGCACTGTTTGTATGTGAAGTAGATTGCTTTCGTCGTCCACCAATTTCACAACCTTATTTTATGAAGCTTTTTTATATCCATTCCCTTGATTAGCATAAGAGACAACCTGGTCGTTTGGATCCACTTCTGAAGTATAGACCAGCTAGTCGGATGCCGACTCAACTAAGCTACGCACTCAAGCAAGGTTAGAACATTTTTTTGGAAACATTTTTAATTCTTCCTTTTTCGATCCATATTTTAGCATCATTAAAGCTTAAAAAGAACTCGTTTCGATCCAATAGAATTTATAAACTGCTTTATGGGTCATTAAGTATTTTATCTTCGTGTTTAAGTTGTGAATTTTCAGATATTATTCAGTTCATTTAGTCCGTTAAGGCCGATATCCTTGATGAAAGCCGCGTGATTCTCAGTTGATATTGTCATAGATTATTACCCATATCAAATTGTATGCAGAAAGTTAATAAAAATAAGAGTCTATGCTCACTTAAAATCCCATATTTATGCTGCAACATTATATGACTTAATAATTCACCTGCTTAGTAAATCAAGATTATGTATCCACTCAGTGTTCAGTAGGACGATAATACTTGAGTTACATTAAACTGCTCTGATTCTCCCACTCTAGTCCGACTAACGTAACTCAATCCACATTTTCACCAATTAATTTACTTTCCCTAAATAGATCACCTGACTTCAATGCAACAGCATAATATGAATCACAGTCAACATATTTCTACATTGTTTACTTACCACTACTACAATAACAACATTTATAAAAAGACACTTTATGATTATTTTTAGGTTTGTTTGATTTACTGGTTACTCAAAATCATTCTATACATCTTCAGACCATATTTTGAAAATTTGTTCCTTGTTTATCAACCCAATGTTTCCACCCTATCAATCTTTGTTATTTACTTTTTCCCAAGGACATCAATTTCACGTAGATAACTCTATACCGGTGGTCGCATTCGGTTGTCGTGTGCCAATAGCCTCACTAAAGTAAGTGATTGATACTTGTTCTCATAATTCGGCTAATACCTTATACTTTATACATTGTTTTCATTTTTTAATAGTTTTACAACTATAACTGGTTGTGTTGTTGCAATAACTTCTGATACTAGTTGTGGACAGTTGACTGCAATCTATGGTCATCAAATAAAAAGATTGTCGAGAAATAACTGATAGCTGCTAACTTATCATCCACGGCTGAATAAAAACGATTACTTGTGCAAAATACAACGAGTGAATGTGTCTGTCGTATTTGATGTAGTCCACTTATAATCTTGGATCACTAGTTTCTATCATCTAGAGACTCTTCTCCAAAAACCTGCATTTCCCTATAAATAAAAAATCGTAAATTGATCCTATGATTAGATTAATATCAACGTTGACAAGAGTTACTGACCAGTCGAAAACTGATGCATGGAATAAATCAATTTCTGGAAGTTTTATAAAGATTTCAGTGTAATCTATACTTCATGTTTATCTTTCTTTTTTATTGATATCGTATTCAGTACTTTGAAATTATTGTTGTAATGGAAATATAAATATCAGGGACTGTTTATTGATTGACGTGGCCATTAATTTCCTCTCACTGTTGAAGTAGTAGTACATAGTTATGCAGTATCGTATGTCATTTTCGCGTGGCCAAACAAAATACGTGGGATTGAGATCAGGACAGGTAGAAATCTTGTATATGGAAAGATAGTTGCATAATCGTGGTTCCAGTTTAAGTGGTGAGGTGTCACATTCGTTATTCAGTATTCGGTGTCAACAGTCTCTACAAACTATTCACCATTGATTCATAAATTCTAATTTATGAACCATAACTTAGGGCGACTTGTCTTCATGGACTTTAACTCAACCTTACCGTTTTAATGATAGTGCTTCTAATTATGTTACTAAACATTCGAACCAAGTAGGTTTAGGGGGATACCTTATTCAGCAATATCGGTATATTTATTTATTTGAACACATAAATATTGGTACAAGAGAGCGCCAGTATAGATGCGCCACACAAAACAATGAGAATTCGAAGAGAAAGAAAAAAGGTAAGGAGCGTGAAAAAAAGAACAATAACGAAGAGGTTGGTGTAAGATGGATTGATATCTGAATTACACAGTGAACTGGAAAATGATAACAGCCTCCATGAATCCTCGATTAACTGTACTTCGAACGAAACAGCAGTCATCCATGATGCGCCCAGTGGTCCAGTACTCTTCATTTCAGAAACATGCCCGGTAATGGATTCGAACTCCGTTATCCCCGAAACAGCGTGTACAGACAGCAACGTATCCAGCTCACGAGAAGATTCCATTGTTTTGCCAGAAAATGTGTCCCATACATCAAATAATGGTCAGAAATCTAATACAATTTTGATAGATGCTGTTTAATTTAGTGACCTATTATCCATGGAATTTTGAAGAGATCTGATGGAAATGTTTCACAAGAATCAAACCCTAATGATCTCATATCTACTGTCGCTGATCCTCACCATCTAGTAAGTTCTAGTGGACTCTCCACTCAATGCGGGAAATATGCTTCAAATAGCGTCACACTAACTGTTACTTGGGTATATGAGGACCCAACATTATTTCGAGGGGGAGGATAGACGCGAGAAAAACTTAAAATCTGGACATCAACTCCGGATCTCCAGAAAAAGGAGGTGTTGGGATATTCAGGGAAATATCCCAAAAATTATCCTGTTAAGCCTAATGCTATCCTTGGACATGAAATGGTATCATCTTATTGGTCAATATTTGTTTAACGTGTCATTTTCCTACTGGCCATTATTGTACAATGTTATTTTCTATTTTATGGTACGTTGTGGTCTGCTTGACTAGCATATAAACAAAGTACGTTTGAAATATAAGGATTCATAACTCAGAGGCTGTGACCTGCGTTCTGGACTTAAGTGGCTGGGCTAGACAGGGAAGCGGGACCAATCAAAACCGTAGGTCGTTCTACGTGTTTGCGCGTCTTTTGTCCGATCAATAATTCTCTACCCCTTAATTAGCAGTATTTTCACAGTTATAACAGAACCACCATACTGTATCTTATTGTACAGCACATTTAGGGTAGCAACTATCAAACGAGTCACTATACCGAGGCTTGAGATGGTGGCAGCGGTGTTTAGTGTAAGACTGAGTGAAGTCTTACGGAGGGGTCTGCCCAATTTTTTCTGCGAAGTGAACTTCCATACAGATTCCATTAAAGTGTTATACTACATTAAGAATACTGAAAACCGGTATAGTACCTAAATAGTCAATCACCTCGCTTTTGTGCACCAGTATACGAAAGTTGGACAATGGAGTTATGTAAAGTCGTCACATAACCCATCTGATTGTACCTCAAGAGGTATACAAAAATTAACCTATCTTGAATCTTGGTTTAGATGTCACACATTACTGCATGGTGATTTTTGTATAACTATTGTTGACCGTTCGGAACCTACTCCTGACAACATTGAGTTTAGAAAAACTGCTGTGGTTAACTTGAGTAGTATAGAGTACAACATGCCACCTATTCTTTATAATTATTCTGAGAGGTTAAAATTAGTCAGGGCTGTAGCCTGGCTTAAAAGGTTCTTGGAATTCCTGATAGTACTTCGTTCACCGAGTCGCGAAAGGTAAAGGAGCTTGATATTGCCAAGCGTAAGATTTTAATGATGGTGTACGAAGAGGTGTATGGAGAACTACTTGGTGAATTTAAAAACAACAATGAAGTAGTTAGTCGTGATGATCTGAAGGGTTTTTCACCGATAGTGCTTGATGGGTTACTCTGTGTTGGATGTCGCTTAAGCTACTCAGATTTCTCAAATGCTTTTAAACATCCAATAATTAGTGACGGAAATGATAATTAGACATAATCATAAAGAACAAGCGCACACACGAACGTCTCAAGTGTTGGCCGAGATTCAAAAAAGCTATTGGATAGTAAAGGAAACCAACACGGTTAGGAGAGTGATAGGAAAAATTGTGACTTGCCGGCGGTTTACGACGAATTTAGGACGACAGATGATGGCGCCACTGCCAGCTTGTAGAGTGAAACAAGGCTGGCATAGCTTCTCAGCAGTAGGGGTAGACTACTCTGGAACGTTTTTAGTCAAAAGAGGAAGGTCATTAGATAAAAGATACGAATGTGTATTTACATGTTTACAAACACGAGCAGTACATATTGAAATGACGTGTAGTTTGAATACTGATGCATTTATAATGGCCTTATTACGTTCTAGTGGAAGAAGATGGAAGCTTGCAGAAATATACAGTGACAATGGGTCAAACTTCGTGGGTGCGGTCTCTGAACTAAGGAAATTTGTGCAACACTTGAATCAGCAGAAGATAAATAGTAAATTGTCAGCTAGGCAGATTCAAAGCATTTTAACCTGCCTCCATCCACCCACAGGGGTGGAATTTGGGGAAGGATGATTAGGTCTATACGCCGACTGTTATTCTTGGTCACCAGAAAACAGACTTTAACTGATGGGACCTTAGGCACTTATTTGGTCGAAATTGAAATGATATTAAATGATCTAACCTTAACTTCAGTTGTCCAAGATGATAACCATTAATTAGTCTTATCGCCAAATACTTAGCTGTTATTGAGGGAATCTGACGGAATAGTCGAATAAGGTAGCATCAGAGATAAATATGACAAACGTTGAAAACAGGTTGATTATCTAGCTACTTTGTTTTGGAAAAGGTGGATAAGAGAATATTTACCATCCCTACGAAAGCGTCAAAATTGTCAGATGAACATCGCAAGTTTCATAAAGGTGGCGTAGTAATCGTGGCTTCGGACGTCTCGACCCTTGGGAGGTGGCCCCTAGGAGTATTTGAAGGTTGTGAGATAGATAACGATGGAAAAGTTAGAACCGTAACTGTTCATACGAATAATGGATTAGCTAGAAAGGATATATGTAAGGTATATCTCCTGGAAGGTTCGAATTAGTTCTTTGTTATATCAATGTAGGCTGGTCGAGCAGGCGTACTATTATAAGTCCTGCTCGTTCCTATAGTGTAGAATATGCTATAGAATGAACCATAACCATAGGCATCATGGTGGCTTGTGTCGTATGGAGGGATTTCGCGGCCCGTTGTAACATCCATTTTGAATGTTTTGTGTGTGAAAATCCCTACTTGTATACAGTTGCAGTTTCTTCCCATTGATTCATTTAGTTGTACATTTTGTTACCATCTGGTTGCATTTGAAATGGTAATATTTAAATTTTATTACAGTTTTTAATTTTATTTACGCTTTCATCGAGTTTCCATGTTTCTTTTGCATTAACGTTGTTTGATTTGATACTTAGTATTAGTGGCAGCCATATTGATTTCGTCCTCCGTTAGATTGTGTTGCTTATATTGTCTGGAATTGTGCATATTTTAATTATCAATTGAGTCAAGCTTCCAAAACAAAAAAAACTTATGTGTATCAAACACGCAAAGTCGGGCATTTCACACAAAAAACTAGATGTATTTCAGCTAAAAAAACAAAGAAATAGAAGCATTCTGAATAAAGAATAAGAGAGATAAGACCAAATACTCAGAACACATTCAGAGAGAGTATTACAGCTCAACTAATGTTCAGAGAAGATTACGGAAAAAGTGCAATTTAGAGCTGGTAGATCTAGAGGAGCACTACTAAACTTACTATAACTGGGATTCACAGTAAGCGCGCATGCAAGTTCAAAGGAATCATCAGCAATTATTTCTATTCGTGCATGGTTCATCACTGAGTAGTTCACAGAATTTACAGTCAGTGGAAATAAATGTTCGAACACTCATCAGTTTTCTCTCCACTATTGATGTATGAACATAGCTAATACGTTGACGTGGTGGTTGGACTTGCCTGTCATGATGGCTCAATCAACCAACTAGACTTAAACCCAACACTCCCTGAACTTCACTTAAAATAATTGAGGCAGGATTTAGCTCCTTCGCTGTAAGACTGACGTGTGCTACACTGTTGTCACCTCACATAACTTCGAAAGAATTAGGTTACATGAAGGTGTTGAAACTGAATTTTTCATCAGAATCATCGATATACCTCGAGTGTGCTAATGATCAGACGCTGCATCGTTAAAACATCAAGTACTGTAAGAAATAAACAACTATCCAGTCGATTGGTTTAACTCGACCGGTTTTGTGTAAGTGTTTGACTAGTTGTTATTTAGATAGGTAATAATGGAATTAAAGCCTGATCGCGTCTCATCGGCAACTCATTACCCATGATTTAAGTCATTGTAGAGTTGCATATTATTTTTACGTTAGACGCCTGTTATTTAAACTTCCTATATCAAGTTAGAAGTTAGGACTTCTATGCTCTTGGGGCATAGGCTCCCGATCAGGAGTGTCCTGACAACTCCAATTTCCTCTTCAAAACAATGAAAATTCGGAAAGACAGGGATACATACCTTTGCCTCATCGTTGTCTCTCCCTGTGATAGTAAAAATGAAGGTTTACTTAAGATGATAGTTGCTAAACTAGACACTGGATCGAAGATTCGTGATAACCTTTGTAAGCTGAAGTCAAATAAACATAAAAAGCGTAGTAATTTCATCTTGCCGAAAATGTTTAATATAATCAATTTGCACAAAGCTCTCAATGTTTTTCGAGACCAGACCACGTGTGGGCACGCTGAGATCAACTTCTACAACCGTCAACCAGTCACTCCTCAACATGTCGATAGCCTATCAAACACAACTTCGAACCTCCTTGTTTCTGACACTTGATTTCACTGGGTTGGCACGTTTCGATTATAGAAGGTGTTACTGGTTAAGTTGTTGTCAAACTTCAAATGCTTGTGAACTCATGTAAAACATAACACAAATCTACACGCAAATAATTACGCGGTTCTATTTTGTAAATTGCGGAAGCCCCTAACGGTGGTTCTGAATCATTCGAGAGAAGGCTTGACAATTGTTATGATTTAGTAGGTTCTTATAGGGGATTGATAGAACACATCAACTGTTGATTAAATGGTTTTGTTCTTCGGTCTAAAGATGCGATACAACAAGTATCACATCCTTATGTAATAAGAAACACACTTCAACAACCCAGGTGTAGATAGCAAGAAACAAGTAGTTTTCTACTGCGGTCAAGCAATGTTGAAATTAATGAATGAGATGTGTATAAGTTTGTGATGGACCCCAAAAGCAAAATTTTCATTCAAGATATAACATTACACACCGTTAGTAATGGTATATCATCAAAATACCAACACAACGAAGCGGTAACGCATAACGCTTACAACTAAATGGTGTATCGAATAAATACTGAATGTAAATGAGATTACATATAGGGTGTTACAAATAAAGAAAAATTACTTCTTTATCTTGTCGATACAAAAATCCTTGAATATACATGTCACGTTTTATGAGAGAGCGGGTGTTCTAGTACTGTACGTTACACCTTGTGGTTTGCCGTTATATTGGGTTACAAACCTCATTTTAGCACTTCTGGCTGTGACTATTGAGGTACTTCAATCACAGTAAGGGTATTATTAATTTGTTTCCTTGTTAAATGTAGGTTTATTCTATGTGTTTATTAAGTCGTTAGCTCGCGTTCTAGATCAAGCTTGATCATTTTCCCCAGCTTCCATCGAGTGGGCTCTCCTGCGCACTCCTTCTGCTTATTCAACGCTCTCAAGCTAGAGACGAACCGCTGTACTAACATATTTTCGAAGCTGATTTTAATTTTTGTACTGAATTGACGTTGACATCAATAGTTCACAAACTGTTTGCATTATAATAAGTAAGTCTATTCCAAGTATCCACTCAGTCATTCTCTCATGTCTTTCACGATTGCCCTCACTTAAATTGTATGTGAATTCCAGTCTACAGCAACCAACATCAATATATCTCTAGACTAGACTTAAACCTAACACTGCCTTAACGTCACTTTAGATGATGGAGGTAGGATTTAGTTCTTTCACCGTAAGACTGACGTGTGGATCACTGTAGCCACATCACATGGCTTCGAAAAAAATTAGTTACACACAGTAATTGAAACTGACTTTACTCAGAATCACCTAAATCCCAATCTCAAGTTTGGGGGAGTTTTGGGAAAACTTCCAAAGTCTAATCACCTTCACCAAGGTTAAAGAGAAATATTGGGAAATTTCCCCAGATCTGGTGCCATTTCTCAAACCTTTCGATAGCGTCTTTCCCAAAATTTGGAGATCGGGATACTTATGATAATTAAAGATATTCGAATTAATACGCTAACAAAGAATTCCCGAAATGGTGCAATTTAGAGCTGGTAGATCTAGAGGAGCACTACTAAACTTACTATAACTGGGATTCACAGTAAGCGCGCATGCAAGTTCAAAGGAATCATCAGCAATTATTTCTATTCGTGCATGGTTCATCACTGAGTAGTTCACAGAATTTACAGTCAGTGGAAATAAATGTTCGAACACTCATCAGTTTTCTCTCCACTATTGATGTATGAACATAGCTAATACGTTGACGTGGTGGTTGGACTTGCCTGTCATGATGGCTCAATCAACCAACTAGACTTAAACCCAACACTCCCTGAACTTCACTTAAAATAATTGAGGCAGGATTTAGCTCCTTCGCTGTAAGACTGACGTGTGCTACACTGTTGTCACCTCACATAACTTCGAAAGAATTAGGTTACATGAAGGTGTTGAAACTGAATTTTTCATCAGAATCATCGATATACCTCGAGTGTGCTAATGATCAGACGCTGCATCGTTAAAACATCAAGTACTGTAAGAAATAAACAACTATCCAGTCGATTGGTTTAACTCGACCGGTTTTGTGTAAGTGTTTGACTAGTTGTTATTTAGATAGGTAATAATGGAATTAAAGCCTGATCGCGTCTCATCGGCAACTCATTACCCATGATTTAAGTCATTGTAGAGTTGCATATTATTTTTACGTTAGACGCCTGTTATTTAAACTTCCTATATCAAGTTAGAAGTTAGGACTTCTATGCTCTTGGGGCATAGGCTCCCGATCAGGAGTGTCCTGACAACTCCAATTTCCTCTTCAAAACAATGAAAATTCGGAAAGACAGGGATACATACCTTTGCCTCATCGTTGTCTCTCCCTGTGATAGTAAAAATGAAGGTTTACTTAAGATGATAGTTGCTAAACTAGACACTGGATCGAAGATTCGTGATAACCTTTGTAAGCTGAAGTCAAATAAACATAAAAAGCGTAGTAATTTCATCTTGCCGAAAATGTTTAATATAATCAATTTGCACAAAGCTCTCAATGTTTTTCGAGACCAGACCACGTGTGGGCACGCTGAGATCAACTTCTACAACCGTCAACCAGTCACTCCTCAACATGTCGATAGCCTATCAAACACAACTTCGAACCTCCTTGTTTCTGACACTTGATTTCACTGGGTTGGCACGTTTCGATTATAGAAGGTGTTACTGGTTAAGTTGTTGTCAAACTTCAAATGCTTGTGAACTCATGTAAAACATAACACAAATCTACACGCAAATAATTACGCGGTTCTATTTTGTAAATTGCGGAAGCCCCTAACGGTGGTTCTGAATCATTCGAGAGAAGGCTTGACAATTGTTATGATTTAGTAGGTTCTTATAGGGGATTGATAGAACACATCAACTGTTGATTAAATGGTTTTGTTCTTCGGTCTAAAGATGCGATACAACAAGTATCACATCCTTATGTAATAAGAAACACACTTCAACAACCCAGGTGTAGATAGCAAGAAACAAGTAGTTTTCTACTGCGGTCAAGCAATGTTGAAATTAATGAATGAGATGTGTATAAGTTTGTGATGGACCCCAAAAGCAAAATTTTCATTCAAGATATAACATTACACACCGTTAGTAATGGTATATCATCAAAATACCAACACAACGAAGCGGTAACGCATAACGCTTACAACTAAATGGTGTATCGAATAAATACTGAATGTAAATGAGATTACATATAGGGTGTTACAAATAAAGAAAAATTACTTCTTTATCTTGTCGATACAAAAATCCTTGAATATACATGTCACGTTTTATGAGAGAGCGGGTGTTCTAGTACTGTACGTTACACCTTGTGGTTTGCCGTTATATTGGGTTACAAACCTCATTTTAGCACTTCTGGCTGTGACTATTGAGGTACTTCAATCACAGTAAGGGTATTATTAATTTGTTTCCTTGTTAAATGTAGGTTTATTCTATGTGTTTATTAAGTCGTTAGCTCGCGTTCTAGATCAAGCTTGATCATTTTCCCCAGCTTCCATCGAGTGGGCTCTCCTGCGCACTCCTTCTGCTTATTCAACGCTCTCAAGCTAGAGACGAACCGCTGTACTAACATATTTTCGAAGCTGATTTTAATTTTTGTACTGAATTGACGTTGACATCAATAGTTCACAAACTGTTTGCATTATAATAAGTAAGTCTATTCCAAGTATCCACTCAGTCATTCTCTCATGTCTTTCACGATTGCCCTCACTTAAATTGTATGTGAATTCCAGTCTACAGCAACCAACATCAATATATCTCTAGACTAGACTTAAACCTAACACTGCCTTAACGTCACTTTAGATGATGGAGGTAGGATTTAGTTCTTTCACCGTAAGACTGACGTGTGGATCACTGTAGCCACATCACATGGCTTCGAAAAAAGTTAGTTACACACAGTAATTGAAACTGACTTTACTCAGAATCACCTAAATCCCAATCTCAAGTTTGGGGGAGTTTTGGGAAAACTTCCAAAGTCTAATCACCTTCACCAAGGTTAAAGAGAAATATTGGGAAATTTCCCCAGATCTGGTGCCATTTCTCAAACCTTTCGATAGCGTCTTTCCCAAAATTTGGAGATCGGGATACTTATGATAATTAAAGATATTCGAATTAATACGCTAACAAAGAATTCCCGAAATGGTGCAATTTAGAGCTGGTAGATCTAGAGGAGCACTACTAAACTTACTATATCTGGGATTCACAGTAAGCGCGCATGCAAGTTCAAAGGAATCATCAGCAATTATTTCTATTCGTGCATGGTTCATCACTGAGTAGTTCACAGAATTTACAGTCAGTGGAAATAAATGTTCGAACACTCATCAGTTTTCTCTCCACTATTGATGTATGAACATAGCTAATACGTTGACGTGGTGGGTGGACTTGCCTGTCATGATGGCTCAATCAACCAACTAGACTTAAACCCAACACTCCCTGAACTTCACTTAAAATAATTGAGGCAGGATTTAGCTCCTTCGCTGTAAGACTGACGTGTGCTACACTGTTGTCACCTCACATAACTTCGAAAGAATTAGGTTACATGAAGGTGTTGAAACTGAATTTTTTATCAGAATCATCGATATACCTCGAGTGTGCTAATGATCAGACGCTGCATCGTTAAAACATCAAGTACTGTAAGAAATAAACAACTATCCAGTCGATTGGTTTAACTCGACCGGTTTTGTGTAAGTGTTTGACTAGTTGTTATTTAGATAGGTAATAATGGAATTAAAGCCTGATCGCGTCTCATCGGCAACTCATTACCCATGATTTAAGTCATTGTAGAGTTGCATATTATTTTTACGTTAGACGCCTGTTATTTAAACTTCCTATATCAAGTTAGAAGTTAGGACTTCTATGCTCTTGGGGCATAGGCTCCCGATCAGGAGTGTCCTGACAACTCCAATTTCCTCTTCAAAACAATGAAAATTCGGAAAGACAGGGATACATACCTTTGCCTCATCGTTGTCTCTCCCTGTGATAGTAAAAATGAAGGTTTACTTAAGATGATAGTTGCTAAACTAGACACTGGATCGAAGATTCGTGATAACCTTTGTAAGCTGAAGTCAAATAAACATAAAAAGCGTAGTAATTTCATCTTGCCGAAAATGTTTAATATAATCAATTTGCACAAAGCTCTCAATGTTTTTTGAGAACTGTATGATTAACAGTCATGAGATCTCAGTATTTGTTATAGTTATCTACAAATACCCCAGGAATACGACGACATCTTGTTTATTCTGACAAAGCAAATGTCACACACAAAATGTAAAACGCGGTTTCAGAAATTAAAAGTCAGCTCAATTGCAATATACCTGTATGTAGGATACAGCGACCTAATGAGTATGAACCATGTACAAATTTCCCGCTCAAATGCTTTGGAGACAAAACGATCCTATATGAGTCACGTGCATTGTTACTGATATGTCGAAACGTAACATATACTTATTCGTATTGTGAGTGGAATAATGACAAATGTTTGTTATGAAAGGTGGGGAAATCGCTGTGTATAATGTTACTCATACTGGTCAACATCATACAGAAGTACATTTCAACATTTTTGTATACCCACCCGTTACAATAGACCCTTCATGAAAAACTTACTCTTACGTATTCCATTGAGAAGGAGAGGTGATATGATGGGATTAAAAAGCTAAATTACATTTTTTTTCTCATTGTGATTATTATTCAACATTATTTCCGTTTCAATTCAATGTGATAATTACTCAATGCAGTATTTGTTTTGTTTTTCTGTACGGTATTCTATTCTGTATAACATTAATTCGAGTGTGACGTTTGTTCAAGATACGATACCCTTGCATTAAATTAACATGAACTGTGATCAGCATGACACGTAGCATGTGATTTGTTATATCTGTCAGTGTTTTTAGCTTATGTGATTTCATCCTCAATAATAATGAAAATGGATTTAGCATCAATATATAAACGAGTGTAATTCCGACTATTGTCGTTGTTGTGTTTTGGGATTACTAAACCTCCACTTGTATCAGTC